GAACGGAGGGGAGGGGGCGGGAATAGTCCTTCTATGCAATGATTGGATATGTGCGGTGTCTGTATGATTCCATGTATATCGCTTGCTCTTCATCTTCTTTGGTGAAGCTTGAAGACTTGATTTCATGTAAGTGTTTGGATGATGGAGTTACACTGAGCTGTGCACTTTGGGGGAGTTAACTCACAGAGCTCATAATTCCTACTTAGACATTACAGTGGGCAAAAAATATAAGGACTCTCAAGAAATGTTTAAGTCAATTCACAGATGTTGGAGGTCTTAAAAGACAAGAACTTTTACAAAATAATCCTCAGGGATGTTACTCTTTGAGAAGGAATATGGATGTCCCTACCCCGTCCTCTTACCTGTCTGGGTGACTTCTCCCAAGCACTTGTCTCTCTCCACCCCTGCCCTGGGAACACGGTTCTCCCCCACTGCCACCAACACCCTATGGGTGATCACTTTTAATTTTTTTCTTGTATATCTTTTCTGAGCTGCTTTATGCAAATACAAGTAAGTAGGAATAACCACCTTATCCCTTCCTTACAGAAAATGTTGCCTTTTCTATATTGTCTCCTACTCAGTTCTTTTTGTATACAAAAGTATCCTGCACCTCCTTCTGTATTATTAAAAATAAAACTTAAAATTTGTACCATCATCATGTCTGACTCTGCCCTGTGGATGTACCACAATTTACTTTTTTTCTCTTGTTTTTTTTTTTTTTCCTCCTGCATTCTCCCCACCTGCCATTATAAACAATGCCAAGTGCATAAACTTGTCCACGTGTAATTCCTGCGTGTGCCTGTTGACTTGTGGGACAAAGTCCCATCATTAGAACTGATCGCACTGCTGATCTTGGGAGTGCCAGATTCTCTCCCATAGAGGTTGTACCATTTTGTGGCGCCAGCAACAGTGTGAGTGTGTTCTTAACATCAAAGATAGAAATGCAGCTTCTGTGGATAATGGATTCTATTCACCTACTCTGCAGTACTCAAAGAACTCCTATTTCTATAGAAGGAAATAAAAGAGAAAGAGATGGTAAAGATGCCATCTACCTACCAGTCTTGAGACTTTAGCCAGACCCAAATAAGGAAAACCTTGTGAAGAATGTGTGAGAAATCCCCTTATAATGCTTTTGTGGGGGCAAATTGCCATGTGGGAATTCTCCCAGAGGTGTATTAGCATCACAATAGGGTCCCTTCTATGCCTGGTATAGTAACCCTGACTCTTTAGAGGGGCCAGAACTGCCTGGTTCAGGCGATGGTGGGGTAAATGGTTTAGGGTTTGGAATTAGACCTGCCTGGATTCTAATCCATGGCTATGCTACCTCCCCATGACTTTGGGTAAGTCATTTGGCTGATGTGGGGCTGCTTTCCAGACCACCAGAATAAGGATACTATCCCCATGTCGTGGGAGGCATCTAATACATAACAGCATTCAACATGAAGTAACCCCTCTTTGCCTTTCTGAAAATTAGTACAGAGAATTGGGGAAAAAATATCCCAAAGTCCTCCCTAATCAGTCAAAATTTATGCCACAATTTCTAGATTTTAAATCGGGCTTACTTGATTCATAGAAGACAATGCAAAAATCTGTTTCCTATTATTTTATATATAATTCCAGCATACCTTGTCCCTGGGCTTCTTGCCTATATCAGCACAAAAGTAATAGGTACCAAAGTTGTTCACTGACTGAACTATGGAAGCAGAGCTTAAATTTTTATTTATTTATTTATTTTGCTATTTAGAAAGAAACAACAGAAATGTCCAGTAGCCTCTTTGCAGCTTCTTAGCATAAGGTGACCTTAAGGTCAAGTCATCTAGAAAGGGCTCCTGGTGTCTATGAAGGAAGCAGGCCAGTGGTGGAGGCATTTCCCATGCTAGTCAAGAATTGAGGTTTCTCGGGGCCTCCCCGGTGGCGCAGCGGTTGAGCGCTGGGTTGCGAAGCTGCCCGCGGCCTCTGCGGCACCAGTTCGATCCCCGGCTGCTCCCCAGCCACCAGAGGAGGGTCCCACATGGCGCGCAGACCTCTCCTGCCGCCCGCTGCTCCCCTCAGCAGTGTACTTCGTCATTCTGCCTGCTCTGCTCCCCGCTCTGGCTCTGGTGAATTCTCTCACCCTCCCGTGCTTCTGACTGTACCCAGTGCATGTATAAAGAAAACAAGCAAACAAACAAACAAATAAATAAAAAAAAAAAAAAAAAAAAAACATGCCTCTATTTAAAAAAAAAAAAAAAAGTATATTAAAAAAAAAAAAAAAGAATTGAGGTTTCTCAGCAATAGAACGAGCATTATAATGATTTGTATTATAAAGTATAATATACAATTTTTTAGGTACTCGAAAGGCTTAATTTCAGTTATCTAGAATGTTATTTCACTCATTTAACCAATTTGTGTACTCATCTAAACAGTATTTATTGCATGCTGGCTGTGTTTTCAGTCCTGTGCTAAGTGCTGGACTTAACTTGGAACAAATACCTAAGAGCCCAACATTTCAGGTAGAAAAGGTGCCATTCATGGCACAGTCTAAATTTAGGTTAATCTTTCAATGAATCTTTGTGGTAACTTTGCTGTTGCTATAAATGATTTTGATTTTAGAATTTCCTGGGTTCTACCATGTGTCCCTTTCAAAGAAGGCAGAATGAGATCATTGAAATAGCAAATGTAAAGTTGAAATCACTTGGCAGTCCCCAGATCTGATACAGCTTTTATCAGATGTAGCTTATATTTGCCAGCCTTATATAGTGAGTATGATTTACTTGGCTAATTCTACTGGTAGATTTTGTTCTCTGCTGCCTGCTTTTATATCTCATTTCATAGCCTCATAGGCTTAAGTAGAGGAATATATTTAAAAACACAAATGAATAATACTTCCTAGAAGTATTCCAAACTACTTGCATTCATTAGACAGTCCCAATCTACTGACTGACAGAGTTAAGTAACTATGTGTTGGTGCAATGCAAACATAGCAACAATGGAAATTACTGTTTATTTAGTGCTTACTGCCTATGCCATATCTTGGTGAGCATTTTGAGTGCATTGCTACCTTTAACCAACCCGGCAATTTCTCAAAGGCATTGTTGTTATTTCCATTAGATAACGGAGGAAACTGAAGTTTAAAGAGATAAACTGGGATCCCAACTTGGGCAGTCACACGCTACACTAATGCCAACTATCCAGGGCATTCTTAACTCAAGTCCAGGAGAGAAACAGCGTCCCATCCATAAGCAGAAATAGTCTTTGCCTGCTATCTGTATGTTTTATTACCAAAGAAGCTTAAATCATAATTTAAAATAAAAGGATACAATTAATATGACTCATTTCCAAAAGTAGATTTTGGAATGACTGTCCCCCATCCTCCCATTTGGCTGGGATACAAATTCTCTGTGAGCACTTTCTATAAAGTCTTGACAGGTTTTACCTTGGCATAAATACTCATGAAAAGTGTGTCCTGAAATGGGGAACCCTCATCTTGCCCTGCCACTCTGAAACTCTACTGGGTGCTAGACCATCAAATATCATATTCCTGAAAATAACAGTAGAGAAAATTTCAAAGGTAACTTTCTTCCATAGAAGAACGAATTTGTCTGCAGCATCCCAGAGAAAGGTATTGGCATGAATAGGTTTTACTAAGGGAGAAGCAGACAGAGTCAAAACTGAGTTCATGGAAGTAAATGGAAGGTCAGTGAGAAAATTCAAGGCTAAAAACTTCAAAATGTTCCTCTCCCATGACCAGTAACAGCCGCGGTCATGAGGCGCGCCTCCCCCTGGCTTCCCTCTGCCTTCCCTGGAAGATCATTGTGATTCAAATCCATTCAGTGCTGCTTCACCTTGGCAATTGTTAGTTCGGATTAAGTCGTGTACCCTGCACCTATTTTAATGACATAGCACATCGACAACGTTTTCATTCATTTAAAGCCATGTTTGCCGACAGAGACTTAGCACCAAAAAATTCTGAAAGGGGCTCTTCACACACTGCCGCGGCCTGCACGAGGAGCTGGCACCGCGTGGGCTCTGGCTGCTCGGGGTACTTCCACAGCAGGTCACAGCCTTCGGACATCGCTTGGTTAACAGGGGTGCCGGCGGGACAACTCTTCCCCCGTGAGGAGGAAAATGCACCCACGCGGGGCCCGCGCCCCCGCTCAGGTCACGCTCAGGCCGACTTTCAACTGGATTTGCCCGGAGCCTTGTCCGGGGCCCGTGGGAACTTGACCACGACAGACAGGAGCGTTGTGAGCGACGAGGGTCAGGGGCGGCAGAGGAGTCGGGGTCCAGGGGGTGCGCGGCAGCGGCCGTCAGGGGCCCCCGGGCCGGCCGGCGCTTTCCCGGGGCCCCCGAGGGCGAGGAGCGCGAGGCCCGCGCGGCGGGGGCCGGCGGCGGCCACGGGGGGAGCCACGGCCATCTTGCCGGGGTGGCGTCTAGCCACACAATGAGGTCATCCTCGCTCCCGGAAGTGACACGCCGTCACCTGCCCGGCCTGGCTCCGCCCCTTCCCCCCGAGGCCCCGCCCCCCGCCCGCGGCCGGGAGGGCGTCAGGGGGCGTTTCTGCAGGAGGAAGGCCGGGCGCCGCGACGCTGAGGAAGGGGACCCCCGAACGTCTGGCACTGCCCCCTCCAGAGAGCACTTTGGACCGCCTCGCTCGGCCCGGCGGGATTCAGAAACGCCGAGGGGTCAACCTGATGGGTTTCGGGGTCAACGGAAGAGGGGGCGGGGAGCCCTGGCGGGGAGAACCCCCCGGCCCCCCGCCCAGCAGCTGAGGCCCAGGAGGGCGGCCATCTTGGCCGGGAGGGCCGGGCTGGGGAGCGGCGGGCGCCGTGCGATTGGGGGGCTCGCCCGGAAGTGACGCCGCGCGCCCGGAAGCGGAGGGGTTCCCCGGCCACTCCCCCCGCGCGTCCGCTCCCCCGCTTCCTCCCCGCCCCCTTCCTCTCCAGCCGTCTCCCCCTCCCCGGCCCCTGCCTGCTCCCCCGCCCGCCCTCCCCCACCTCCGCGCTGGGAAGAGAGTCAAGATGGCGGCGAAATCCGATGGCGGCGGCGCGGGGGTGGGCTTCGCCCAGCTGCACAACCTGGACGAGGCGGTGGGCAGCGGCGGCGAGGAGGACGGGGAGCCCGGGGGCGGCGGCGGCGAGGAGCCGGGCGAGAGCAGCTCGCTGCACATCTGCCACTGCTGCAACACCTCCTCGTGCTACTGGGGCTGCCGCTCCGCCTGCCTGCGCGCGCTGCTGGGCAGGACGCCGCGCCGCAGCGCCGCCGCCGACGGGGGGGACCAGCCGCTGCAGCCGCCCGGGGCCGCCGGCCGCCGCCCCCCGACGCCCGCGCGGCCGCAGCCCCGGCGCCGCAGGCGGAGCGGCCGTGGCTCGACTGCCTGTGGATCGTGCTGGCGCTGCTGGTGTTCTTCGGGGACGTGGGCACCGACCTGTGGCTGGCCCTCGACTACTACCGCAAGGGGCACTACGGCTACTTCGGGCTGACCCTCTCCTTCGTGCTGGTGCCGTCGCTGCTGGTGCAGAGCCTGAGCTTCCGCTGGTTCGTGCAGGACTACACGGGCGGCGGGCTGGGCGCCGTGGAGGGGCTCAGCAGCCGGGGCCCCCCCATGATGGGGGCCGGCTACGGCCACGGCGCGGCCCGCGGCGGCCCGGGCGCGGGGGGCTCGGCCACGCCGGGGGGCGCAGCGCCTGTGCCGCCTCTCCGTGTGGATCTGGCAGTCGGTCATCCACCTGCTGCAGATGGGGCAGGTGTGGAGGTAAGCGCGGGGGGCGGGCGGGCGGGGGTCCGGCGCGGCCTCCGCGCGCGCGGCCCTCGAGGCGCCCGCGGACGGGCCGGGCCGGGCCGGGGCGGCGGTGGCCGCGCGCTCCCCGGCGCCCGCGAGAGCCCGGCCCCGGGGCGGATCCCCGGCCACGCCTTTTGGCCCGCGGCGGCCCCGGCCGCGGTCAGCCGGGCCGCAGCCCGGTGCCGCTCGGCGGGGACGCGGCGCCCTGCGCCGGCCGCCGTCCCGGCGGACCTCGGTGTCCCCGCGCCCCTCGCGGCGGTCCCGGCGCCGGCCGGCCGCGAGCTGCGCCCCAGCGCGCCCCGCGGGGGCCCCGCCTGCGCCCGGCCGGCCGGCCCGCGGGGTGCGCCCGGCGAGACGTCGTCCCCGCGCCGGGCCTCCGCAGTGGCCCGGGGGGGCCCGTGCGCGAGCCCGGCCCCCTCCTCGGCCTCCCGGGCCCACGCCCCCTCCCCGGCGGCGCCCCGCGGAGGACTCGGAGCCGCTGCCCCCCGGGATGGAGAAGGACTTCGTGTGTTTATTTATCCCGCTGGAGCAGACTTGCCTTTCCCGCCGCCGGGGCAAAGCGCGCGGGGGGCGGCCGCGGCGGGGAGCGCTCACCCCGGGGACACCGCCGGCCGCGCGCGCGGACAGCCCAGCCCGTCGCTGCCCACTGCGCCGGCCGCAGGCCCCCGGGCGAGGTACCTGTCCCGGCCGGCCCCGCCCGGCAGCCCCTCCCTCTGCCAGCTCCCGAGGCCAGGGCAGCTCTCCAGCCGCTGGCCGCTTTTCCTTTGGTCACCAGCCCCCCTGCCCGCTTGACCGGCCCCTCCCGGCCCGCGCCCGCCAACTTCAGGCAGCTCGGCGGGCGCCGGGCGCAGCGGGTGTGGGTCTGAGCGTTTACGAGGGAAAGTCTTGCTGAGGATCAGCCCCCGAGCTCTCCAGGTGCAGGCGGCTCTGAGAAGACATCTTGCCTCCCGCCCAGCCCCCTGCTGGGAGGGCGCGGCAGGGGCTCTGGGCTTCAGTCCACCGGGAGGTGCCCAGGTTAGCTGAGGTAGAAAGTTTGCTGTCTTGTGGATTGTTGGCTAGGCACTGAGTTCAGAATTTTAGGAGAGATGTTTCACAGAGCTTGGGGTTGAATTAGCCAGATCATGAAAGCGAAGCCAGAACTTTGCAGAGTTAACGTGGGGCTTGGGCCTGGGGAGGGCCTGGCGCCTGCTCTCCTGGCCCTCCGGGCTGGTGCGATGGCCTTTCCAGATTGAGCCAGGCCACCTTTTTTGGAGCTGCATTTGTCTGCGGATAATTTGATTCCTACTGAGTTTATAAGAAGAGGGGAGGGCGATCAAGCAGATAAGAGAGATGATTGGATGACGGGTCAACTTTTAGCTCCCAGGAGCCTAGTTTGGGTCACATTCCATTTTGAAATGTTTTGATTTTGAAATCTAAATCTTAACAACACCTTTCAACACCCACATCTGGAACGACTTTTTGGTTTCTTGCAGGTTGGTGAAGGAGGAGAGGGAGAAAAGTATGGGGAAGAGAGATTTTGAGATAGTAGTAAATTTTAATAGCACGTGGGTGTTGAACAACTAGACCGGGGCTGAGTGGGCCAGAGTCATCTACTCCCCGGAGTGAGGTTCGAATTCCTGGGAGAACTGTTTCTGATGGAATCCACTCCAGATGTTCCTGATGTCATTATCAGGACCCAGTGAAGTCGGAGTCCAGCTTCAGTTCTCTTTAAGGCGGCGTTGCTTACCCCCGCTCACATAACCGTCATCGTGTTTGAGCAAAATAGCAGTCCAGAAGTTAGACAACCTGGAAAGTACTTTGAGTGCAAGTACTTTTGTTTAAAGTAGGGGCACATATTATTTTTCCTGATCTTCACTTAATTCTCAAGGTCTGATGAGGTGTCGGTGTGTATGATGATGAGTCCTGCGGGTTTACTATGTCTGAATTGTTTTTAGTCGTTTTCAAGATTAGTCTGTGTCTCTAAATATTTCATAAAGTTAAGGTTATTAAAAGACATGCTAATTCAGCTTATTTCTGCCAACATAGCTCTGCTTCAGAAGAAATATGCACTGAGGAAGGATTTTATTTTTTTTATTTTTAATGTTTTTTCAGTAAGCTGGTTTTGCTGGAGATGCTCCAGGAGCCGGGTCAGCTCTTTAATGCCTTGCTAGGCATGTGGCTGGCGTGGAAGTCATTTAGATGTAAAAGCTTTGGAGAAAGGTTTTTACTCTTGTTTTTACCCTCATGACAAACAACTCCTTGTCAGTGTGTATAAACATCCTCGTTTTTACTGCAGATCTTTTGGGGGCCACAGTTGTTCCCTCCATCATGTTTGCTACTTAAATTTTGCTATTTCATGTGGTCACATGACATAAAGGTTAAGATCTGTCATGTGACTGGAGCCACATTTCTGGGGAAAGATGTCTGTGAAGTTGTACACTAAACGCCGATCCCCTTACACCACGAATACCTGTCTCTGCATGCACTTTTTATTTTTTTTAATGAGAGATTATTTAACTCTTGCTTGGACAAATCATAGCATTTAGTTGAGCAGATTGCGTCCCTTGCGAGCAAGGTGGCAAACTTCTGTGCGTGTTGCTTTTCCTGTTGAGCTGGAATGTACTTGACATCTCTTTGCCCTAATGATCATCCGGGATGTTGGGGGTGTGGGTAGGGTCGGGTGGGAGCTGGAGCGTGGCTGGTGTGGTGGCTGGTGTGGCTGCAGGCCCTGCTTGGGCCGGCCGGGCACTGGCGCGCTCCCCGGTCCCTGGCGGTGCTGTGGCTCCCAGGGTGGAGGGCTGTCCCGGCCCCGCATTTCAGGTGCTCTGCTTCGCAGGTGGATGAGTCACCCAGACCAGGACTGTGAGTCACACCGAGCTTCGATTGCCGGCAACGTGTTGTTATTAGAAAGTGAGGTGGTTTTCTTAGAGGGTTAGACGGCAGGAGAGGTCTGACTTCATTTGCAGGTTGTGTTGCTGGATTAAGTGTTTTCCTTCTGCCTGTCATCCTTTCCTCGATTTCGTGCCTCGTGTGGTGGCGGGCCTACCCCCCCAAGGAAGACGTGTTCCTGGGCCTACAAGTTTGCCGAACGTCACCAGGTCACAGCCAAGTCACTTGTCTTATTTACTTATTTGTATGGATGGGGTCACACTTTGACTTTCCGAAGGAAGAGGGGAATTTCCTGGAGGTCTCAGCAGTAGGAGTAACGTGTAAAGTGAATGTCAGCTGGCCTGGGCAGGCGGGGTGGGGGGGGGGCTACTTTAAAGGGAGAAAAGAAGACGGTGTCCCCTGTACCCTCCTGGGCCCACCCGTCTTGAGCAGCCAGAGCAGGACGCTCCCCTTGGCATTTCTGTCCACAGTGGAGGCCGCGGTCTCGCAGAGGGACGAGCCGCCTCATCGCGCTCCCTTGCTGCTGGGCTGGGGAGATGCTGGTGCTCGTGGCTCCCCTGCCCCTCCTCTCCTGTGTGATGCGACTTTGTTCTCTTGGCTGTTTCAGATAGTGGTTGTCAACGGAGCAGAACCTATGGTAGCTTTAAAAAGAAGAAAAGAAACACCTGAGCTCGCTGGGCCTGTGGTCTTGCCTCTAACTCCCTGCAGGTGCCGGCAGGCCGCCAGGCTTGACAAACACTTTTCGAGTTGGGTTTCTAGAAACCCGGTGAAATCAGGTTCTTCCTTGGAAGTTACTGCACTTTGTTCTCAGTCAGTAGATGGAACAATTGGGAGCGGAAGGCCTCACACAGCGAAGCTGGGGTCCAGGGCAGCCCTGCGGGGACAGATGGCTTTGCTGGGAGGCCGGGGGGCCTGGCGCGTGGGACTGTCTCAAGTGCACGCACTTAAGGCGCTTGGTGGCTTTTCTGTGAGTTCAAGTGTGGATCTCATCCTAAAAGGATTCCCAAGTCCTGAGCAACCTTCAGTAAAGCTAGGCCACTTCCTGCCTTTCATCTGCTCCACGTGGCGCTGAGTGTTAGGATTATGCGGCATGTAAAGGTGTAGTAATCTTTATCTCCAGATGATTCTCTTCAGGGCTTTGGGAAACTTAGCTGGGATTACAGGTGGTGCTGGACCAACTGAGCTGTAATGTCCTGGTGGTGCTGAGCTGTCGTGATTGAAGAATGACGATGTTGGCTTACAGGTGTGGGTCCCCATCCAGGGTCGCCTCACCCTGGAAGCGGGCGCGCATGTGTGGGGGACTGTAGGTGTCTGCTTGTGATTGGGTAGGAATCTCAGTGTTGTAAAAATGTCATTTTTTTCTATTTTATTCATAAACTGAATGAAATTTTAGTTTAAAAGAGACTCAGTGAGACTTTTGAGGGGAAATGAGAAAAAATGGTCTGAGAGAAGTCAGTGTGTTTGAATAGTCAAAAAAGAGAAGACCCTTGACGAGACAGACGGGGCTCACGCTCCAAGGGGTGCGCGCCCGGGCGGTGCTGAGACAGTGTGATGGCGGTGTGGGGGGGGCTCCGCAGGCAGGCGCAAAGCAGAATAAAAGGGGTGAATTGACATGACTGGGGGGGTTGGTAGATGGTAGAGGCGGTATTTCTCATCTGTGGATAGAAAAGGATTGTCTGACAAGCAGTGTTGGGGCAGTTTGGTTGCCGCCTTGCGGAAACATGTTCTCAAGGAATAAGGGATCCGTCTGAGCGGGGTGCTTCCCGCCAGGCCGCGGCCTTCGCCTGCTCTCCGCGCACAGGTTTGCCGCTAACGCCTGCGTTTCCTTTCCACGCTGCTCTGTTTGCCTACTTGCTTCTGGTCAGGTGTCATGTCTTTCTTATTCTCCTCTGAAAGAACGAAGCGTGTTTTAAAAAATCAAGAAAATCTGGCCTCGTGAATAAAGCGGAGTGACTTTTGACCGTTGCCTGAAGGCAGCTCGCGTTCAGCGCGGCGCGTAGCCCAGCCCGGTGGAGGGAGATTCGAGGGAAGACTCGGGTTCATCCTCCAGCAAGTTCCAAAACTGGTTCCTTGTATTTACCAAGTGAATTAAATAGGTTGATCTT